AACAAATGCTGGTGAGGATGTGGAAAGATTGGGACTCTCATACGCTGCTGGTGGGACTGTCAAATGATACAATCTCTGTGGAAATCAGCATGGTGATTCCTTAAAAAGTTGGAAAGAGAAACACCATTTGATCCAGCAATCCCATTACTAGGTATATGTCCTAAAGAAGTGAGAGGCAGGACACGAACAGACATATGCACACCCATGTTCATCGCAGCACTGTTTACAATAGCAAAAAGATGGAAACAACCTAAGTGCCCATCAGTGGAGGAATGGATAACCAAACCATGGCACATACACACAATGGAATACTATGCAACCCTAAAGAATAATGTAGAATCCACAAAACACTTCATAATGTGGATGAACTTGGAGGACATGATGTTGAGTGAAATAAGTCAATCACAGAAGGACAAATATTGTATTGGTCCACTATTGTAAAAATCAAACCCAAACTAAAACCAAACACACTGCCGTCAAGTTGGATCCAACTCATAGCGACCCCTCCTTGGGTTTCTGAGGCAGTATCGCTACAGAAGTAGATTGCCCAACCTTTCTTCCGAGGAGGGGCTGGTGGGTTTGAACCACCAGCCTTCTGGTTAGCAGTCAAATGTCTCAGGCACTATGCCACCAGAGCTCCCATTGTAAAAGTCAAGGAAAGGTTTATATATGGAAGGAAACTTTGTTGGTTACCAGGGATGGGAGGGGAGGAGAGGGAAAATGGCTACCTAGGTAAAAGACAGTTTGGGTGAAGGGAAAGGCGGTATAGCAAAAGCAAGTGAACAACACAGTAACGCCAAGGAAAAGGTACACATCGAGAGGTGCACCAGAGATGCGGACAACAAAGATGAACGCTTTTACACACACAAACTCTTGTGTGGCTACGTGGGCTGGGGCATCTCCCCTTCCTCTGCCCCCCACTCTCCTGACTCTCCAGTCAGACATCGCCACCTCACTGCTCCCCACCAAGGTGGCCTGTGTGCTCCCTGCTGAAACCAAGGTCACTTCTCAGCCTGTCCTTGGATCAAACTGGTCACTTACTGCCCCCCTCGTGTGTCTGCCTCAGACACCCAGCCTCAGTGCTTGGGCCGCACCCACTCTCCTCAGTCAGACAGACTCATCTGATCTGCTCACTCAGAAAGCGCCTAACCCCTGGGAGCCCCAGGTCTGTCTCAAGCCAGCCTCTCCCCAAACTCCAGACCCTGCTCCCGGAGCGTTTGGCAGGCCTCCGGCTCCACGGGACAGCCTCACACAGCACCCTCCCCCTGCCCCAGTCCGGCCACTTGTTCAGGCCAGAGATCTCGTGGTCACCCAGACCCTCCTCTCCCCATCCCCTCTAGTCGGTCAGCAGTCCCTGTCAGCCCACCTTCTAAATAGATCCAGACTTCGGGGACCTCTTACCAACCCCACTGTGACACCCTGACCCAGGGCATGCCATCCTCCACTGGACCATGTAACAGGGTCCTGCTGGGTCTCCCACCCCACCTGCTGCCCCAAGGCCACTCGCAGGGGGGATGCCGTGTCCGCGGAGAGCACCGTTCTCCCCACGGCCACGCGGGACCTTGGCCTCCACGGCCACCGCTCTTCCCTTGGCCCTCCAGCCACAGGGGTGTTCTTCCTGCTCTTCAGAGCCACTGGCCCCACCCAGATCCCTCCCCAGAGCCAGCTCCCCCTTCCACGGGGCTCTTCTTAAAAGTCCCCTCAGAAGCATCTTCACACCTGCCTCGGGACGGGACGCGCCTGCCCCCACCTGTCACCACCTCACACCCGGTGCGTGCAGCATGTGGTTCTGGGTAGTGGGCGTGGTCTGCCTCCCTCACTGCCGTTTCCCCGTGGAGAACGTAGCACATTGGGCCAAGGGCTTGGGGACAGGCTGTATGCTAGAGTGGTGGTGGGAGGGGTCATGGGCCAGAGGTCAAGGGCCTAGAACTCCAAGCCGAGATGGCCCCGGGGGCAGAGCAGGCCCTGGGGAGCGTGCCCCCACACCACGTTCCCACCATGCCGCCCCCCACCGCGCAGTGCACTGCTCGCCCGGCCACCACTACAACACCACCACCCACCGGTGCATCCGCTGCCCCGTGGGCACCTACCAGCCTGAGTTTGGCCAGAACCATTGCATCACCTGTCCCGGCAACACCAGCACGGACTTTGACGGCTCCACCAACGTCACACACTGCAAAAGTAGGTGCTGCTCTTCCCCACGGCGGGGAGGGGTGGGTGAGGCCTCACCTCCCGGGAGGAGACCGTGGGCCTTCCCTGCCTGTCACACCCACTCACCCCTCTGAGCCCGGCAGCGTGGGGTCACCTGTCCCGGGAAGGTGCGGCTTTCCTGTGAATGGTGTTTCCCTCCCTCCCTCCCTCCACCCATCCACCCCAGTCCTGCAGACCCACTGAGCTTCCCAGCCAGGCCAGGGGGGTGAGGGAGCAGAAGGCTGGTGTGAGGCTGCTGAGTGCCAGGCCGGGCTCAGGCAGGCACTCACGGTGCACACAGCCAGCCAGCTGGGGGCACCCGGGAGATGTCTGATGAGCGCGCATAGGGCTGGGGCAACAAGGAGCCAGGCCTGAGCCTCCTGGGTGGAAGTCGCTCAGCCCAGCCCGGGGTTAGGGTTAGGGGGCATCCCCGTTCTTGGTGCAGCAGGGCCCTTGACTGCCAGAGAGGATCGCATCCCTGTGCTTGCTCTCACAGCGTCTTATTTCCCGGAGTACTTTGGAGCGTACATTCGGGTTTTTACCTTCTTCTTAATTAATGCTCAAGCACTCGGTTATCCCTTTCCTGGGTTGCTGGTAATATTTGGGACAGCCTGTATTTTTACCATACTTACTCTGTATGCTGAATACTAGTCTGTATGCTGAGCAAATAATCCAAGAAGCTGGACTCTGTGAAGAAGAATGCAGCATCAGGATTGGAGGGAGCTCATTAACAACCTGCCATACGCAGATGACACAGCTTGCTTACTGACAGTGAAAGTGACTTGAAGCACTTACTGATGAAGATTAAAGGTACAGTCTGCAGTATGGATTACACCTCAATACGAAGAAAACAGAATCCTTACAACTGGACCAGTGAGCAGCATCATGATAAATGGAGAAGACTGAAGTCGTCAAAGATTTCATATGACTTGGTTCCACGGTCAACGCCCATGGAAGCAGCAGTCAAGACAGCAGATGACATACTGCACTGGGCAAATCTGCTGCAAAAGACCTCTTTCAAGTGCTGAAGAGCAAAGACATCTCTTTGAAGACTAAGGTGCGCCATACCGAGCCATGGTATTTCAATAGCCTCATATGCATGTGAGAGCCTGACAATGAATAAGGAAGACTGAAGTTGATGCTTTTGAGTTGTGATGCTGGTGAAGAATGCTGAAAGCACCGTGGACTGCCAGGAGAATGAACAGGTCTGTCCTGGAGGAAGTGCAGCCAGGATGCTCCTTGGAGGGGAGAATGGCCAGACTTCGTCTCACGCTGTCAGAAGGGACCATCCCCTGGGGAAGGGTGTCATGCTGGGTAAAGTGGAGGGTCAGTGAAAAAGGGAAGGCCCTCCACAACATGGATTGGCACAGTGGCCGCCACGAGGGGCTCAGGTGTAGCAGGGACTGTGCGGCTGGCCCAGGACTGGGCAGTGTCACGTTCTGTTGTACACGGGGTCGCCGTGAGTCGGAGACGACTCGACACCACCCACAACATCAACAGCAGCATCCCCGTGAGTCGAAACCGACTCGATGGCAGTGGGTTGGGTTGAATGATCTATGAAAAAGGAGGAAATCCAAGGGCTGGGGGTCTGTTTCTGTGTGGGGGCTGTCCCAGCCTGGGCTCACGTCTCCTCCATCTCTGTCCCTAAGACAGAAGAGCAAACTTGTTGATGGAACTCAGCAGACCCAGGGGTTCGTGGTTCGGAAAAGGAGCCTGGTGGCGTCAGGGTTAAGCCCTCAGCTGCCAACCAAACAGTGGGCGGTCTGGACCCACCGAGTATCTCCAGAGAAGAAAGACCTGGTGTGATAGTTAAGCTTGTGTGTCACCTTGGCTGGGCCTGGGTGAGCGGCTGGGCAGCTGGATGTAGCTGTTCCCCGTGGGGAGACTGGCAGCCAGCTCCAGGGTGGAATCGAGTGGAGCAGCTGAGTAGCTGCTTTAGAGACATGGTCACCTCCAGTGTTGAAGCAGCGGCTTGGAGGAAGGTCTCCTGCTTGCTGGCGCGCCTGAACCCTGCATGTAGTCGAGTCTTCATTCAGCAGCCTGCCATGTCTTGGCATTTTTAATGGACTTGAATCGACAGCCTGCCGTGTGGTTTGGTAACATCAGGACTGTGCCTTTTTACTTGTCAACCTTGGGTTTGTCAGCCTCAGCAGCCAGCAGCTGCCCAAGTGAAGGGATGCTCTAGCTTCAGTGGGCCGGGAGCAGGAGGCAGAGCTGAAGCCCGAGGCTGAGGGGCTTTCACCCAGCCCCTGGAGCCTGGCACTTGGACTTAAAGCCTCCAAACCATAAGAGAGTAAACCCCCGTTAGTTCAAGCTTCCCATTTGTGGTCTGTTCCTATCAGAGCAGCACTGACAACCAGAACACCTGGTGGTTTGCTCCCATAAAGATCGCAGCCCTGGAAAGCCTGTGGGACAAGTCTGCTGTCACACAAGGTCACTGTGGCACCGAATGGACGCCACAGGACCCACCCCAACAAGGAGTGGAAGCGGAAGCCAGGTGGAAGGGACGCTTCTAGACACTGAAAGTCGAAATGAGTATTTTCCAGAAATTCTGAAGCGGGAAGAGAATTGTGGCACGAGGACTTGTGGGAAGATTCCATGCCCTCAGTCCTTCTGTTCCATCTCATGCAGAACTCAGGTGCTTTCATTTATAAGTTGAAGACCAAGACCCCCTCGTAGCTCATGAGAACATCCTGTTGGCCTGTTCAGGGGGAAAAGCAATGAGAAGAAATCGTTTCTTTCTTCGTCGCGTTTTCCTCGCTATGTGGCTTGCTGTCACCTTGCTGCCCTGTGTATCCCTGCGCCTCCCAGCCTCTCGTGGGTGGGGACCTGCCTGGCACCTGGTGGCCCTGGCCAACACTGAGTAACTGAGTGCACAGAGAAATAAATGGGGAGGGAGGGAGAGTGGGGTTCATTTGAATTTCACACTCAAGACTTGGCTGAGTTCCTAGTTCAGGCGAGGGGCAGGTTGGGGCAGGCAGCCCAGAGTGGTTAAGAGGGGCATGCTAGAGGCTAGGGGTCCCAGGCAGGATGCCCGGGCGAGGCCGGGCCATGGAGGTGGGCCTCAGTCAGGCAGGGCCCTCGCTGCTCCGAACTCTCGTGAGCAGGTGACAGGAATGGTGGGCTGAACTTCGCTGAGGGGCCAGAGGGAGGCTGGCTTGGGCTGATGGCATTCGCTGGAGGGATGGACCTCTGAGGGCCCAGACAGGAGGCCCAGGGGAGGTGGGCCAAGGAGGGCCTGCCCGCCCACCCTGACCAGCCTGCGGGCCCCCGTGCCCACAGACCAGCACTGCGGGGGCCAGCTTGGAGACTACACGGGCTACATCGAGTCCCCCAACTACCCTGGTGACTACCCGGCCAACGCTGAGTGCGTGTGGCACATCGCACCGCCGCCCAAGCGTAGGATCCTCATCGTGGTCCCCGAGATCTTCCTACCCATCGAGGACGAGTGTGGCGACGTGCTGGTCATGAGGAAGAGCGGTATGTGCCAGGGCGGGGGCGGGACGGGCCTGTCCTCAGCCCTGCGGGTCTGCCACCATGCTCCCCACCCCCGGCCGTCCCCCGAGCTCAGAGACAGGAAGTCACCGTGCCAGGTGGCCCAAGGCTTACCATGGGTGACTCTGGAAGCTGGCTTCTCACAGCTCTGTGGACAGATCCTCAACCCGGGGGCACCTGAGGCATGAGGCCAGCCCCCAGCAGGGCTGCGCTCACCTCTGGCCACAGCAGTGTCTCTTCCCGGTTGTCCTACCAGTGGCAGAGCCCTGCCCAGGACTTCCTGTCCCTTCTTCTGCAGAGGGAGCCCCAGGAGTGACCCCCAATGCCACAGGGTCTCCTCCCTCCCCTGAGGGTTTGGGAGAGCAAGGGCCCCGTGCGCACGCGAGTGCACACACACACACATCAGGGTCAGAACGTTTCTGCCAGTTCTTCGCCTCGTGAGCCCCAGACTCCTGGCACATCACCCCCCATCGGGCTCGCTGTGAGGCTGCAGGGAGTGCAGGGAGGGACAGTGGTAGCCACACCCACACACACCTGTTGACAGGTGTGCACCCACACACTCACAGCAGCCAGAAAATCTGGGAAGCATTGAGTCCCCCCAGGGACCGACCTGGTCAAGCCCTGAGAGTGCCCCTCGGTTGTGGGCACCTTGCTGCTGTTGCAGGGCTGCAGGCCAGTAGGGGGCGCCGAGTTAATGCCAAGGAAAGAAGACTCGTCGGGGTGGGTCTCAGAGCCCAGGACCTAGGATGGGGGCCCTCTCCTCACATATTGGGTATGACCCCTGTGTGGCTAATGAGCTGGAAAGCCAGTGTACAAACAGGAGGACTGAGACCAAAGAAGGCAAGTTCCTGCCCAGGGCCACACAGCTGGTTCCCCGGTCCTATCACCAGCCCCATTCACTCTAGGGGCCACCTCTTCCCCAGGCTGCACCTCAGGAAGGCCCCCTAAGGGGCAAGGAGGGGGCACCTTGGGCCAGCCCCAGGCACCCCAGGCCAGAGGACTCACCCTTGTTCATCCGCCTACAGGAGGGAAGGCAGGCCACCCAACGCCTTCCCACATCTGACCCTCAGTCCCAGCACATCTAGGCTGGCTCCTGTCCCTGAGCCTCCACTCTGGCCATAGCCCTGTGCTAGTAGCCAGAGGGAAACAGTGACAACCCCACAGAGGGGCTTCACCAGAGCAGGGAGGGACAGGGTGGGTGGTGGAGCAGTCAGGAAGGCTTCCTGGAGGAGGAGACACAAACAGCTCTCAGAGGGACAAGTGAGAACTGGGCAAGGGAAGATGGGGAAGACATCTGAGGCGGAGAGAACAAACACAGAGACACGGGAGCTTGGAGCGCTTAGGGAACCTTACCTGGTGTGGTGGCCGGGTGGCCACCTGGGCTGAGACGTTGGCCTGTGGCCGGAGGGCAGGGTCCGGGTGAGGAGCTGCCCATTCACAGCAGCTCAGCATCCTGCTCCCACAGCCTCCCCCACGTCCATCACCACCTACGAGACCTGCCAGACATACGAGCGGCCCATCGCCTTCACCTCCCGCTCCCGCAAGCTCTGGATCCAGTTCAAATCCAACGAGGGCAACAGTGGCAAAGGGTTCCAGGTGCCCTACGTCACCTACGATGGTAAGGCAGGGCCATCTGGTAACAGCCACAGCCTGTGCCCAGCCCTCCCTCGGGGAGCTCCACCTTGTAGGGGAGACAGACCCAGACCCAGAGCTGTGTGCGGGGCCCAAAGCAGACAGGCCTGTGAGGGCGAGGGCCACGGGGTGGGCAGAGAGGGAGTGATTGCTGCTGTCTCCGGGTTTCAGCACAAGGTTCTGCCCACACAGGGTTTTTAAGGTTAAATAGGAGTTTTCTGGGTGGCCGAACTGCAAGGTGGACACGTGGGTGGAGGGAGCGGCCCCCGGCCGAGCCTGAGCCTGAGGCTGGAGTAGGGCAGGGGCAGAGGCCGAGGGGGACCGGAGTCTCCAGGCCTCACCGTCCTTTCCTCCCAGAGGATTACCAGCAACTGATAGAAGACATCGTCCGTGACGGACGGCTGTACGCCTCAGAGAACCACCAGGAAATTCTGAAAGTGAGTGTCTGTCCCGGCAGGGGATCCATGTCACCCCCTCCCAGAAAGATGAGGGCAGGTGGGGGCGACAACCGGAGAAGACACACCTGGGAGAGGCTGCCCAGCCTCACAGCGGCCTTGCGGACACCCCCGGGCCCTCCAGGGCCTGGTCCTTAAAGGCAGGGCCCCACCGTGTCTTGCAGGACAAGAAGCTGATCAAGGCCCTCTTCGACGTGCTCGCACACCCCCAGAACTACTTCAAGTACACGGCCCAGGAGTCCAAGGAGATGTTTCCCCGGTCCTTCATCAAACTGCTGCGCTCCAAAGTGTCCCGGTTCCTGCGACCCTACAAATAACTCACCTGCTGCCCCACGCGGGGATGGCTGGGGTACACCCGGGGGGGCTGCTGCCCAACAGCCCTTCCCCCCAACAGAAGCAGAAGGCAGAGCCACAGGACAGGGGCACCCCCCAAGCTGCCAGGGGAAATAGCTGACACACCTGCCCTCCGGGAATCTGACCAGCCTGTGGAGGCCCGACCCAGCCCAGGCGAGACCCGCCATGGGCGGCACTCCTTAGACGCACCGCTGGGGGTGGGGTGGGAGGGACCTTGGTTAAGAACCTCTTCCTTTCCTCCATCCACCTGTTCATTTTGCCTGGGACCAGGAATGCGTTCTCCCGAGCCAGCACTAGAGGGCGCCCTTGTGGGCAGGGGCCTGGGCACACCTGGGGCCTATTGCACTTGAACTTTGCCAGTGCCGCAGAAGCCAGAGGTGTGACAGGAGTGTGGCTGACCTCGCCCCTGGAGGCCGGACAGCTGCGCTGGCCTCCCCACAAGACAGGAGCCAGCCAAGGGTAGCTCTGCCCACAGCTGGCCATAGAGGTTGGGGCTCGCAGGGCCTCCACACACGGAACTCCCTGCCACAGGCACAGGACACAGACCCCATGCTGTTGCCTCTGAAGGGGTCTGTGATGGACAGAAGAAGCCGCTAGGGGAGGAAGCTGTAGATTTTCGCTTTCCCTTCATAGAGCATCTAATTAAGTACACTTTATATATAAATATAAATATATATATACTTCTATTGTGCATACTTTAGGGAAGTTATCTTTAGTGACTGTAAATACTCATGGCGCCCACCTCCTCCCACAAGCCTGTCAGCACCGCACTGAATTAAACTGCGTGATTAAATGTCTAGCCTCTCCCCTCCTGGTCCCTGTGGTTGTGAGACGGGGCCCACGGGACTGGGGCGTGCACAGGCCCCCGGGGACGCTCCAGGGTCTCTGGGGATGGGGCTCCAGGTCTTGGCTGGAGTCCGGGCCGGGCCTGGCCCCTTGGATGGGACTCAGGTGGGGCTTCTCCCCAGGGCGCGCGGGGCCATGGTCTGTGGAAGGGGCCACGTGCTCCAGCCCCAAGCAAGCAGTCAGAGTCTGTGCTGCGCCTGCACATCTTCACTGAGAAGCTCGGGTTGTACAATTGTATGACCAGCAGGAGCCGTAGCAAGCAGCTGGCCTCACTTCTGTACTTCACAGACGAGGAAAATGGAGGCCCAGAGTGGGCAGCCAGCTGGCCTAGGGTCACGCAGCGGGTTACCAGGCAGAGCCAGGGCTCTTGTCGCCATTCCTTGTGCTGCACCACGCCTCCTCCCTCACAGAGCTTGTTCTCCAGCAGAGAGAAGTGTGAGGACATGGCCAAGCTGCACTCAGTGGGGCCCCACCTGGGATGGAGTTGGCCGAGACCTCCACATGCCGGGGCATCGGGTCTTTCTGAGTCATGAGGCCTCGCCTGGAGGCCAGACTGTGTGGACACACTCTGGGACATGCGTAGGAAGGGGTCCGTGTTTGTAAGGTAGACAGACACCAAAAACCCCAGGACCACAGGAGAACTTTCATGAACGCCAGCACCCCACTCGAAGTCGCTCTAGGTGGTTCCTACCCGTTGCCCCAGGCCCGGCCCGACCAGTCAGCAGTGACCTGGGTCTGGGACCCTTCTGCCGCATGTTGACAGTGGTGAAGGCAGATGAGTGAGATCTCAGAAGACTCGGGGCTGGGTGACAAGGCAGTGATGACACCTTGTCCAGTCCAGTGAAGGGCCTGGGGCCGGAACCACTGCATCACCGTCCCTGCAGGCCCTGTCCATTCCCAGGAAGGGCTTTCTGGGGATGAGGCTCCAGGCCCGGCTAGAGTGTAGGCCCGGCCCGGCTAGAGTGTAGGCCCGGCCCGGCCATCGGCCGCCTCCAGCAGTGAGATGAGCGTCCCCCAGAACGAGAGCCCGGTATCAGCTTCCCAGGGGGAGCGACACTGGCCAGAGCTGCCTTAAGGCTGTTTGTTTCATCCTTTTAAACACCAGAGAGACTGCGTGATGTCACCAAATTGTACATGCAAGCAATGTTGAATGGCAGATACAGCTATATTTTTAGAATAAAATAAATTTAAAGAAAAGAGGGGGCGGTGGGCTGAGAGGGCTGGTGGCCACTCAGAGCTCTATCTGCTGTGCTCAGGTGGTTTTCTCACCACCCCCAACCATGGCCCCTACTTTGGAGCCCACCTGCCCTGCAATGCACAGAGCATGCTCAGGGATGCAAGGGGCAGGATGGGTGCACAGCCCCTAACCCGCCTCCTGCTGACAAGTCCTTGGAGCTCTTGTCCCACCCAGGAGACCCTAAGGGGTGCACCCTCAGGAGGGCGAGGTGGCCAGAGACCCAAACTCAGCAGCTGTGGGAGTAGTCATCACCCAGCCCTCCCAGCGAAACTGTCTCCTATGCCACCAAAGTCTGGTGGGGGTGTCCGTCCAAAACCCTACATCAGCTCCGCACGGCTCCAACCACAGCTGCCCCAGAGGCCTGGGAGCATAGGCCCATTTCCACATTCCCAGGCTGAGGCCCATGCTGGTGGCTTGGCTACCATGAGGTGGGCCCCTCCCCAGGAGGAGGAGGCAGGGAGAAAGGGGGTGTCGATGGGGACAGACGGGGCCCAGCCAAGAGGATCCCCACGACACAGGACATGTGCAAACTCTGTCTCAGCCGGAGAACCCAGGAATCTGAGGAAGGATGGAGCACAGGACTCCCCAGAGCTGTCTGAGGGGGACGGGAAGTAGGGTGCAGCCCCATGCCTGGCCCCCTGCCCGGGACCATGCCCTCTTCCAGCCACAGCGCCCTTCCTGAGCCCAGGAGGAAGGAAGAAGCTTCCAGAAGGAAAAGCTTGACCAACTGGCCTGGACTACAGGGGGCAGGGTCCTCAATCTGCTGAGCGTCACCCTGCTGGGGCAGCTAGAGAGCCTGGCGGAGGGACAGAGGCGGCCTCTGCCCACAGGGAGGGGACCAGATGGGACCAGAGAGCCCGGGGCAGGGGCCTGAGGCAGCCTCTGCCCACAGGGTGGGGACCAGATGGGACTGGGAGAGTGGAAGACAGCAGAGTCCCCTTTTAGCCCCGCAGCTCTGCTCCCCACCTCAAGACAGGTCTCACTGGATGGTGGTGGGGAACATGTTTCCCAGCTCTGCGCCCCCCCCCCAATGAGTACGGACTCGCAGGTCCAAAGCCATTCCACGCGTCACCTGTCACTGTGAGACTCACAGATGAAGTGGAATGAAAACTTCCAGAAAGTCCCAGGTGACAAGGACAGAGGTGGCCAGGGGGAAGGCCTGGAGAGGCCCTCTTGGCTGCGTGCCTCTCACAGGCACGACCTCCTGCAGCCTCCCCTGGGCGTTTGTTCTGAGGGGGGCAGCCCACCGTCCCGGACCCACCAGGCAGGAAGGGTGGGGGACTGAAGCTGTGGCAGGTACTTCATCGACATTTTGGGGACTGAATAATTTACTCCAGCCCCACCGCCTCCCCCAGCAGAAAAACACGACACTGAGATAAAGTGGGTCATTTAGCATTTATTGAGAACTGCCTATGCACAAGGCTCCAAGGAGGACAAGGGAACCAGTGTCTTACCACAGACCCCGAGAGTGAACGCAGCCAGAGCGGACGGACACCTTTGGTCAGAGAGAGCAAGAGGTCTATTCCCATCCGGAGTAAAGAAGAAAATCAAAGAGTCAAGGAAACAATGGGTCCAGAGGAGTGATGGACCACACGAGCCCAGCCTCCACTAGCCTGAGACCAGGAGAACTAGATGGTGCCCGGCTCCCACTGCTGACTGCTCTGATCGGGACCACACCAGGTCCTGCAGAGCATGGGAGGGAAATGTGCAACAATTCAGAATCAAAAAGATCAGACGTACTGGTCTGAGAGAAACTGATGGAAACCCCAGGACAGTGGCCCTTAGACACCCTTCAGACCTGGAACCGAATCCACATCTTGGGAATCACCTTAACAGCCAAACGGGCCTAGAAAGTGAACAGTAAGGCCCGTGAGGAACATAGTCCTCAGAACAGTTATATGAGACCCAAGGGGCAGGATTTGCCCCCAAAACAAAGCTAACATCACAAAATAAAATGTGGATAGATCGTTCAGTGGAAACTAATGTGCTCTGGAAACTTTAGCCCAAACCACAATTAAAAAAAAAAATTGGAGGCAGGAATGAAAAAAAAGATGACGAGGAGACTGAGGCTGGAGTGGGGGGCACACAGAGCCCAGCGCCCCTACCAACAAGGGTTCAGCAGAAGGGGTTCTCCCTCCAGGCCCTCTCCGAGCTCAGGGGGGGCAGCCCAGGCCCTTGGCGGCAGGCAGGACAGGCAGGGCGTCCAGAAGGAAGAGCTGCGACAGCCCAGGCTCACAGGACCGCTCGCCCGGTCCCCAGAACAGAGAGGGGCACACACAGGCAAGTGGAGCCCCCCGCCAGCCTGTGGCCACCACGGTGAGTGACGGTGGGCTCTGCCCTCACCGATCGCCTGAGAAGCACAGCTGGTACTCGTCAGTGCACAGGAAGGGGACATTACCTCTGACCTCTGACTCCATGCTGGGGAGGCCTGTCAGCCTGGTAGACTGCTCGATCGAGGGCCCTTTCCTTCACCAAAGACACCCATCAGGCAGCGCAGCCTGAGACCAGGCTACAGGCTGAGCCAATACCGTTCCAGCCCCAGCAGAGGGCGCAACAGGTGAGCTAAAATGCCATCACACATGTGGCCCTGGAGCCCAGAGCGCCCCGTCTCCCATGGCCACCTCTGCCTACCCACCACCCACCAATTCCTGGCCCATCCAGGAATAGGCCCTGAGACCAAGATGACAGGAGCCTCTCATGCCACCCAGCTCCTCAGGCTGGTGCAGTCCAGGCCCGGCATCGTGCCACCTCCCAGGCCTGCAGGGACCCCCACACCCATCCTGAGATGGTCTGTACTCTCCCAGGCTCACCAGGCAGGAAAGAAGGGAAGCTTCCCAGGCAGTGCCCTGTCCTCTTGCACACAGGTGAACTCTCCCCACC